TCGAGGAGGAACTGGAGCGGGTGAGAGAGGGATACGAAGGCATTGAGCGACGCCGAATGTCCTACCTCGCGCACGCCGAGAGATTCTTCGACATCGAGACGAAACGGCATAACGTGGCAATCCGCGCGGCTCATCAACTGGATATTCAAATTAGAGACATGATCCACTCCCCTCCACTTGCCCAGTTACACTTAAATCATGGTGGTAGATTCGGGGCCATCTCGAGCTCTGCTGCAAAGGCTGTCACCTTCAACACCGACAAGAGCATCATTTTGGATCTCGACGGCAATGAATCTTCCGATCTGCCAGCCCCAGACTCCACTTCACAACCTGCCGGCCTAACGGGAAGCAGTCAATCGACAAGTAGTGTACCTCGCGAATGTGTATCCTCACCGAGGTTTAAAGCCGGTGGTCTTTGGGGATCTAACCTGGATGAAGACATCGGTGGGCCCAGTGTTGCTTTTTCCCTCAATAACAACTCCATCTCGGGCATCGCCAGCAAGCGACATAGGGTAGAGCTCGCGTCTGCCTAAATATGTTCGCCTTCTGCATTTTAGGCGTTATTACGAATGGTGAAGATGCTTTTTTATTTTTTTTTTAATATAGAAAATGAAAATGAGAGTCAATTATGTTTGCTTTAAAAAAAATGAGTGAAAGACCAAAGGAATGTCGTAAGACTATAATAGATGGTTTTCAGTCTTGCTTATTTTAACACGAGTACTTAAACAGTGCACTGTCGCTTTATTAGAACTAAATAAATTGAGAATGACATATATATTTATGATTCTAGATTCAAGAGCTAATATAAAATTTATTTAGATATTATACCTTTTGGAAAAGGAAAGGATGGAGTAGAAGTCAGCAAATGTTTGCTGTGCGACACCATTCCTGACGTAGGTTGAATGGTGGGTAGTGGGTATGCCTGCTAAAAAGATGTCAACTAATGAACACAGCTTTTGCTTTCCTCCTAACTTCTTTTTCTTAATTAAGAAAACAACGGTGCCCTTGATAGTTGATCCAGTTCATTTATATATCATTAAAAATTAAGCGGTCCCCTCTTCCCATTCCATAATGCTTTTTCCTGGTGGCTCTATGGTGCAAAAGTTTAAGCGATTTGATGTCTTCCCAAAGTTCGATCGAAAATTTGAGGTAGACGCGCGCCATAGAACAATATCGGGTGGCATCTTCTCAATTGTATCTCTAGTCATCATTTTAATGCTGATCATCAGTGAAACACGCTATTTCCTTTCATCGAAAACAACGCAAGATATGCTAGTTGATCCCACAGTAGGCGGTGAGATGCCAATAATTCTTAACCTCACCTTTCATCGCGTCTCATGTGACCTCATAGTCATTAATTCCATTGACGCGCTTGGTTCACATATGGATCACATAGTGACAAAGACGGTGAAGACGCGTGTAAATCCAGATACATTAAGACCGCTTGGGGAGGAAAATCCTATTATAGAGAATACATTGGTTAGTAAAACACTTGACCAAGATAGTGCGAAAATTTCAAAATGCCCATCCTGCCACGGTGCCGAGTTGTACAAAGGTCACTGCTGCTTTACTTGCGACGATGTCCGAAATGCCTATGAACAAAGAGGCTGGAAGTTTAGCACCGAAAAAAACCAAATTGAGCAGTGTGCAGAGGAGCGTCAACGATTGGCTTCCGCACTTTTGGCCAATGAAGGATGCAATATCTACACCAAATTATCCGTCGCCCGCGTAACTGGCATTCTTCAATTCATTCTTGGCGAACTTCACACCCACTCTGGTATCCCCCATATAGACATCGGGAGCGACTCCTTTCGGAACCTCAACCTGAGCCACGTGATTCACCAGCTTGAGTTTGGCGAGGCCTTTCCGGGTCAGATTAACCCCCTCACAGGGGTGGAGCAGATCCGCGGGCGGGATTTGGATACCAACGCGAAGCGCTTCATGAACGGCCGCTTTAGCTACTTTGTGAAGGTGGTCCCCACACGCTATAAGACGACCTCGCTGCTCCTCAGCACGAGCACCACGACGGATTCCAGCCAGTACTCCGTCACCCATCACTTTACCCCCTCCCTTGGGAAGATGGATGGGGAAAAAAAAGAAACAGGTAGACCAGCGCCGCCAACTGGGGTCATTCCTGGGGTCTTTATCACGTACGATCTATCGCCCATAAAAGTCCATATCGTGCGCAGCCACCCGTACCCGTCTTTTGCGCATTTTATTTTGCAGCTCTGCGCCGTGTGTGGGGGTGTCTTCACTGTTGGTGGGCTCATAGATGCTATGTTATATCACACAGTAAGGCGCTTGAAAAAGCACAGTGAAGGAAAATTAATGTAGAAAATAAAATAAGAAATATTTGAATCAGAATTTACATTATGACCAAGTCAACCTTCCCGTAAATGTGGTAAAAAAATGAAATCCCTACTGCTGGTAGACCCCTTATAGTGTCTGCTTTTTGGTGTTCTTTTCAGGCCTCTATTTTACTCTTGTTGTGTGAAAATTCCTTCAAGTTACGCTTCAACAACACACATTAAGTCTGCCACTTCACCGACCTCTGGTGGCCAAACCAATAACCCTACAAGCAACCTCATCTCATGCGCTCCCCCGTTATTTTTCTGGGAATTTTGTTCGTAGCTCTTGTGGGGTTGCCGAATTCGGTCGTTGTGGGGTCTTTTGGGGTAAAAATTGAGGCGGGCGAGCGGGAGTGCTATACCGAGATCGTCGAGGCGGGCGCGACGCTGGGCTTCAACTTCCGCGTTACAGACGGCGGCTCGTTTAACATCGACGCGATCGCGACGACCACCTTCACCCCCGCCTTCGCCAGCGTCGACAAGGTCATGCTTGTTCATTACACCGACTACTACAGGGTGATTCGCGATAAACAGCAAACCGAGGCCCTCAACACGTGGTCGCGGGCGACCGAGGGAAGCCTGAGCTATACCGCACCAAGCGTGGAGGAATCCAAACACGGGCTGCCGGCAGAGGTTACCATCTGCTTTGACAACTCCTTTTCAACTTTCTCCCCGAAGTGGGTAAGCTTCTCGATGATGAAACACGACGCGCTGGAGATCGACCCTAATACAGTCAGCAAAGTTGACGTACAAATGGAGCAGAAACTTTATGAATATGGAAAGGTGATGTTCACCCTGGCAAAAGACACCGATGGGCTTCGGTTGGCCAGCGAAGCAGATCGCATTAAAAACTACTCGACTACCGCTATCATCAGCATCGGGCTTTCGATCAACATCTTGGGGCTTTTAATTCTTTCAATATTCCAATACAACTCCCTGACTCGTTTCATGAAGCGAATTCAGCAGCAATCCTGCTCAGATAGTTTTCGTCGCTGAGCAGCCTGGTATACGAGCCCTCATATATTTTTTTGTAGTTTAGGCCCAAGCGGTCAATGATGTAAATGGTTCTAAGCTGTAAAGAATAGGTTATTGTTATTGTTTTATTCTTTATATTTAGTCTGAGCACCACGTCAGGTGCGAGGTTGGAAATGTGAAAAGTTCGCAGCGCAATAGGGTACAACAAAACATGCGTCATGAGTTAATTTTTTTTAAATGACTCTTTGTGCATCACAATTTTCAGTAAATGGGTAGGTTGAATTACCGAACGTCATTAAACCATGACTTTTTCAGACATGTTCCATGATAAGTCCACCATTCTACTATATACCCCCCTTGCACATTTTTTATCTGCTTGATCCCTTAGGACTCATCCTAGATATCAAAGCGAATATAGTGCATTTCAAACTAGTAATCAGAATATTCCACACTCGTTGGAGGCAAGTAGATTGAAACGAGTCAGCGACTACGTAAGTAGGGCGTCCAATATCCAATGGTAAGACATCTGAACACCCGAATTAACGGGATGGGGTCTGTATGCGGGCTAGCGTCTTCAGGAGGAACACCAAGTGGAGCTCGCGATCGGGCCGACCATGTTGCCGATGTGGCCTACGAGGATTGAGTTCTTCGAGAAGAGGAATATACCGGTGAAGAAAGTGTGCTGCAGCAACTCCATTACCGTCTTCCTGACGGAGGAAGGTAGGGTGTATGGATGCGGAGCCATCAACTATGGTCAGTTGCCGCACAATGCCTTTGAGCCCGTCCATATCTCGCTTATTCGCACCTTTATCGATCCAGGCACAAGTGAAACCACCCCACATACTGTAGAAAGAAGAACGGATGGGCAAAAACTCATTCGCATTAGAGATATCGCCTGCACCGGCAGTCTAGTAGTATTTCCAAGCTCAAAAAATGAGATCTTCATTCAAGGTGCGTTGCCCAAGTTTGGCATTCTAGTTCCATCGCCACAACTTGCTGTAGTTGATCAAACCGCCGCCATTCGTGCTTTCAAGGAATCCTTGAAAGCAAATTCCTCGGTTTGTTCGGATATAGACGGTTTTTCTGCGGAAGAAATGGTATCAGGTCCATCCTCAGTGCTTGTTCGCTACCGAAATGGATGCGTTGGTGCTCTAGGATCAAACTCCGAAGAACAGCTGCACAATGTTAGAAAGGTGATCCACGGTCGGTCCGTAAATCTTGCACCATCATTTGCCTCGACAAGTTTGTTCCAAATGTACACCATGACATCAGCATTGTCTCGGGATGTGTGGAAGCGATCTTGGCTAATCTGTGGCAGCGAATTCAGCTTGCTTGTTGACGTCGACGAGGTTTATTCCGTTTACGAACAGGTGCAACTGACTGAGCTGACGCACGGGGAAAGAATCTGCATGATTGATGCTATGCGGAAGAGTCTGTTGAAGAGTATTCGTTAAGTATTCCCCCCCCCCCCAAAAAAAAAAGAAGTATAGTAGACAAAACTAATGACAATGGGTCGCAAACTCTTTTGGGTGAACGCCGCCGCCTACAATAATCTTCTTTTCCTTTCCCTCTTCCCTCCGCGCGCCGCTTCCCAGCAGTGCCTGGACTCCATGTGATGAAAAAACTTTGCCGTGACCCGGGATCGAACCAGGGACCTTCAGATCTTCAGTCTGACG